GTGGAGCAGGATCTCCATCTGAACTTCCCCTGGGATTCAGCAGATTGGCTGGCCCTCACGGAAGACTGTTTGAGGATTGAGGAATCTCCTGAGAAAGAATGTATCCTGAAAGAAAAGGGAACCCAACCTGTTAAGCTCAGCCCATAACCAGGTTGAGTTCTCTGCTAGGCAGGAAATCTGAAAAGAAAATAAAAATGAGTAAACGTATCACGGGTATAACATAAAGAAGGGGCCAAAAGTATGTTCATTTGCTTTGAAAAAGAACAAGAGGAGCTTTGGGTCCTTCAGCTTAGGTATGAGCTGTGGTAAGAAAGGTCATACCCACTGACGGCCCAGCAGGAGGTGAAGGGCTGGGGGACAAAGTGGTCCATGTAGATGCCCTGCAATGGTCCCAAGAGGTATTCTCTGGAATTCCAGAACTATCTTGGGAATGATGTACAGCGGGATGAAATTCCACATGAGTTGGTAGAGAGGTAAGAAGCAAGGAAATTTGGATTATGACTTTAAATGGGCTTTTATTCCCAGGGGCAGTGCAGGTTTTACATGGAACAGTTGGCAAGTTAATAGTCAATTCTTCCCTGCAGAAACCCAACCTGGAGACCTCAGATCTGGATGAAACTCTTTTCTCTTGAATTCTCCCTTATAACTTAGGCTCCTTCATGAGATGGCTACCTCCCCCAGGGACTGCAAATATATAGGCAGCCAGATCACAAAGCTGGACACCAGGGTCTCCCTCCTTCATGAGCCCTAAGTGCTCAAATTTTATCAGATCTAAGGTAAGGATCCTTCCCAGACCCTTCCTCTATGCATGTCCATCTCATGCTCTTAAGTCCTGTGAGCCACCTGTACCAGGTGCAGAGGTACCTGTCTGAACAAGACAGGGAAAGAGAAGAAGGATGGTATCAAGGTCCCTGTACCAAAGTATAGACAGACTTTAAGGCAAAAGACACAAAGAAACTAAACATAAACCACTATTCTCTTTTGTATTTTCCAATTTGTCTAGAAAAAAAGAGACAAATGTTACTTTTTCAAAATCAAATGTGAGAAGTAGATGGAAGCTATCTACATGTCCGGCTCTTCTGAGTTGCATGAGCTCTCCCTCATGGTCACTCCTGGGGGGCGGGGGGGTTGATCTTTATTATGTAATAAACAGGAGCCATGGAGGGCAACCCACCTGTTTGTGACAGAGACAGTTCCACCATGCAGCTGATACGAAAGGTAGGTGTAGCTAAGCTGCCGAATTTGACCCATTTAAACTTTGTGGTGCCCCACTCAGGGAAAAGGACCCTGTTGTGGAAGAAGACACATTAACATATTTTCTCACTCACCTCTACTAAGTCTTGGCTCATCCAGCAAGAGTGATTGACAACCCCCAAAGGCTGTTGGACAACTATTTGAAAGAGGGGTCCAGGAGAGGCCTCCTCCACCTGTTACTCTTTTCTTTATCACTTCACATCCATAGGGGTCCCTAAGCCCCAAGAGAAGGGTCAAGTGCAAATCTGGTAAACCAAGAAGCCCTAGCAGTTGTCAACTTAATTAGCCTTCAGGAAAATATATGGATATATGAGCACAGTGGGGTTGCTATAGTGATAGGCACAAGAGGCACATTTAGAATGGGGCCTCATCACATCACCCGATAAAAATAAGACCCAGGCTTTTTAATAGAATGAATTACTTAAGTTTTATATTTAACAGTGGACGACACCAAGGCTATTACTGGTTTTCAGAATATTTTAGGAATCTGGGCTGCCAGCTTCTGCATATGTTAACAACCATCACAACATATGCTCTGGTGGATGGCAGTTAGGAACTGGAAGCCCGTGTATCTCTCCCACCCCTGGAGACGAGAGATGGTCCTTCTCACTTAGAGTTGTCCTTCCTTAATTGCATGAGAGATTTTCAATGAGTTTCAGAGAACTGTCTGGGGAAGAATAATATTGTACTATGCAGTGACCTTTGCATATATTATTGTTAATCACTATAACAACCCTATGAAGTAATGATCTCATTTTGCAGATGGAAAAAAAAATTCTTCAGAGAGGTTCACAACTTTCTCAAGGTCACACAGCTAATGAGTAGTATAGTTGAGATTCAAATCCAGGTGTCCCCATTATGAAACCCATGCTTTATATAGTACATCAGCCAGAAACAACCTCTGCACAGACAGGAATCTGGGATGAGGTGAATCTAAAGAGATTTACCAACTTTATTGGTATACAGCATGGACCCTGTTATAGTTCAATCTCTCTTTGGATAGGCCCAAAACAGATGGGTTCCAATAAAACATTCCACAGAGATTCTGACCTTTGCCAACTAGTACTTCTCTAGTCATCCATGGTAAGTGTTAATTCCTGAATAACTTCTAACAGAGAACTTTCTGTTACTGTGACAAAATCTCTGGGATCACACCAACTTTTTAAAAGGAAATATTTAGTTTAGCTCACAGTTTCAGAGGTTTAGGATGGTAACTTGGCTCTGTTTGCTTTGGGCCTGTGGTAGCACAGTATATCATAGTAGGAACATGTATGAAGGAGACTTTTTGACCATGTGGCACCTGGGAAGTAAAGAGAAAGGAAGAGAATGACATGCCCATATCCCCTCAGAGCACATTCCCAAGGACCTAACTTCCTTCCACTAAGCGCCACCTCTTAAAGGTTCTACCACTTCAAGATAGCACTACAGTTTGGAGACCAAGCCTTCAACACATAGGACCTGGGGGGACATTCAGGATTCAAACTGTAGCATCCTCCTTACCATCCAACATGCTTCTAGGCTGTCCCTTCCCAAGTCAGAATAACAAGCATAGTTGACCCAAGATTTCAAATTAAACATCAGTAAAAATGTGTCCCTGCTGCTCTCATACCTATGAAAATGTAAATGTATAAAATCAAGTTGAAAATCCAAAGTGAAATTATTTTTGTTGATAGTTTTGTCTTTGGCTTATTCATGACCCTCCTACTCTGCAGAGGATGCTTCTAAAACCTTCAAAAAAAAAATTTTTTTTTCAGTTCAATCCTGTACAGTAGACTGACTCCATGTCCACCAGGCACTGATTTTTCCTTCTTGTGGGAAATGGTGCTGGCGATGATAAGGTTGGACATTAGGCAATGGAGGATGGGGAGTGGAAAGATGGTTGGGAAGCTGGGGGGCCCCATGGTGAGGACAATAGTACATGTTGTCCCTCCTACTTCAGTAATAACATATATCACTCCCACTTCAGTTTATCAGCAGAGAATAAAAAAGACAAAAGATATTTAGTCTTCAAGGGATCTGGGAGAGGACATGTAGGACAAAATCAAAGCTTCAACAGAAATGCATCAGTCCAAATGAATCAGCTAGAGGGGCACACAGCAAGCAGAAGCCACAGACCAGAGGCTGGGACCAGGCCAAAGCAGGAGGATTAGACTCAGAAGGGAGATGGTCATGTCTCAGAAGAGTCCCCAAGCAGTAGAACCCACCCTGGGAGCTTTTCCAAGCTGCCTGCAAACTGAAGTGTGGGTGTGGAGTGTAACCAAGGGAATCACCAGCCCCTTCCTGCCCAGTGCGGAACCTGACACCAGCTTGTACCTGCACAGGATGTTCAAACCCATCCCTACTAAAACTGCCACCTCTACTTCCTCCCCAATACACACCCCTTCTAATTCCTTTAGAATCAGAGCTGATGTTCCACTGATGGATGCAGTTTTTTCTTAAATTTACATAGCAATTTGTGAGGGGTTTTGTAGGCTTTCAAAAAGATTTTCTTTACTTCAATTAAACAGGCAATACACTTAAAAATACTATGAGGCTGGGTATGGTTGCTCATGCCTGTAATCCCAGCAGCTCAAGAGGCTGAGGCAGGAGGATCCTGAGTTCAAAAGTCAGCCTCAGCGAAAGTGAGGCACTAAACAACTCAGTGGAACAGTGTCTCTAAATAAAATACTAAAAAAAGGGGCTGGGGATATGACTCAGTGGTCAAGTGCCCCTGAGTTCAAGCCCCAGTACCCGCCCCAAAAAAAAGAAAAAGAAGAAGAATATGAGAAGAGGAAATTGAGCGTGAGAAGAAGAGGAGGAGGAGGAGGAGGAGGAGGAGGAGGAGGAGAGAAAATTGAGTGTGAGAATAACTTCTTAGCAGAAATATTTTTACTAGTTCTAATACCAGCTTAGCCAAAGTTAGCTGCAAATGCAGAAATTCCCATGCACATCAGAGATACTTATAAGTATTTATTTATTTAACAGATGAATCATTTTGTGCTACTGAAAAAATTACATAATGTGTTCTTGGTGTACATATAGCAAAATAAACTCAGGGGGCAAGCCTGGAAATCCTGCTTCTATTTACAAGCAAAATCATGGATAGGCTTGGAACTCAGGTACACTTGATAAGCTCTGACTCTGCTACTTGGTGACTGTGGTAACCCAGGCAAGCCACTTCACATCTATAAGCCTTTGCTTTCTCATCTGCACAATGGGAATAGTATCCATCAGCCACCAGGGATGAGGGGAACAGACAGAGGGCTAGGCAAGGGCCAGACACAATTTCCACCTGGAGTGAATGGCACAGCCACGGTGGTGAGCAGGGGCCAAACCCTCTCTCCCTCCTCAATCCCTTGCTGCAAAGGTTTGGCCTTTCAGCACCCTCTTCTACTATGAGCTCTTTCCATGAAGAAGTCTTGAGAGTAACTTGTAGGCCACTGTCATGGCCCGCCACCAAGCCTTTCCCCATCCCTGTCTTTACCCTTTGCCCTCTAAATAAGGAAGCCAGCACTGCCAGGCCAAGAACTGCTGCCCAATATGGGTCCTGGGTGGCTTCTGCCTCCCTCTTCCCCTGGGCTCCCAGCCAGCTCCCCCCTCCCCCAGAGATGCTCCCTGCTAACTTCATTCCTGCCTCATAGTTGGAATGACAGTGGCTCCCAGAATCCCTGGGGAGTGGAGAGGGTGATGGGGGTCTGGGGAGGCAGCCAGGCCCAGGAGCAGGTTAATGTTACAGTCCTGGATAAGTGAGCTAGGCCAGCTGACGTCAGGGGGATGATGGGTGGAGGGGAGGGCCGGGCTGCTGAACTATAAAGATAGGTCAAATCAAATAGTATCACCTCGGGACGGAGCAAGCGGCAAGCTAGAGAGCGTCCCTAAGCCATGGTCCCTACCGGCCGCGGCTCAGCCTGGGTCCCTCTGCTCTCAACCCGAGTGCCCGAAGCAGGCTTTGGTTTCATGTCAGCAGCCCTCATCTGCCTTCCAAAAATAAGCCCCTGCCGCCATGCTGAGGGGAGAAAAACAAGAAGGGCGGTATTTTTAGGGCCATTAATTCTGACCACGTGCCTGAGAGGCAAGGTGGATGGCCCTGGGACAGAGGCTGTTCATCACTATGTCCCGGGGAGCAGGACGTCTTCAGGGCACGCTGCAGGCTCTCGTCTTCCTAGGCGTCCTAGTGGGCATGGTGGTGCCCTCGCCTGCAGGCACCCGCGCCAACAGTACGCTGCTGGACTCGAGAGGCTGGGGCACCCTGCTATCCAGGTCTCGAGCTGGGCTTGCTGGAGAGATCGCCGGGGTGAACTGGGAAAGCGGCTATTTGGTGGGAATCAAGCGGCAGCGGAGACTCTACTGCAACGTGGGCATCGGCTTTCACCTCCAGGTGTCCCCCGACGGCAGAATCAGTGGAACCCACGAGGAGAACCCCTACAGTGAGTGACTACTGCAGCCAGATGGGACATTTGGGGATTTGGGCTCTAGCAGAACTAAAAGATGAAGGGGTCTTGCTCTGGTGGATGGAGCCCTACTATAAAGGGGGAGAAATGTTATGCACTGCTTAGATGACTTGGTTGGACCCTACCTGGGTGCAAACTCAATATGCTGAGATCTGAGCATCTTGGTGGCCTTTGCCATCACCCTATGCAGTCCCTGTGACACTAATTACTTCAGCATTTCTGGCCCATCTGAGGCCTTGTAAGACCCCTAGGGACCATCACCTTAGAAAACCATGGGGCAGCAGTGGGGAGACTGACTAAGGATTCTTGGACCAAATTAGACATGAACTTATTTTTATTCGGTTTCCCTCTCTGAGAAGGAAAGGCAAATGGTTTGCAAAATTCCCAGCTGAAGCACATTCTTTTCTTTACTTCAACCTGCTCCCTTTGTCCCTGGGTCCTTATACTACAAATTGACACATTATGCATGAGTAATCTCCCAGCTGTGACAGGATGGGGACTGCAGGATCCATGTAAGCCAATAGCTTCTGTGTAGCTGCAATGTTTCCTAGATAGGATGGTTTGAGATTTGTTAAAACATGTGAGCCTATATTAAATAATCATCATCATCATAATAATCAGAACTCATGGTTTTACCCAAGCCAGGGATCTGGAGGGATTGATTCAGTGAAAGTCCAGATTCAAAGCTAATCTTAAATAGATGCATGGTGGTCACTAATGTAGAACCTTTTCTTGCAGAACTGATGTTTCAGAGGATAGTGGTTGGACATGATGAATCTAGCAATGGGATCTCCTAAAATTAGAGAGATCAAGGACAGAGGTCATAGAGAGTCTGGCTATCTAGGAGGAGGTGGACGGACTGGATGCCGTGGTGGGGGCTTGAGTCCCCACTCTGATTTGTATGAGCCTTAGGTAATATAACCCCCATTTCCTTGTCAGGCCTGCTGGAAATTTCCACAGTGGAGCGAGGTGTGGTGAGTCTCTTTGGAGTGAAAAGTGCACTCTTCGTTGCCATGAACAGTAAAGGAAGATTGTACACAACGGTGAGTTCATCAGGCCAGGAGATGCTCCAGGTTGCATAAGGCCCGACACACAATTGAAGGAAATAATACAAATACAGTACAGTGAATCTTTATCTTTATCCAAAATGAAGTGAATCTTTATCCAAAATGAGAAAAGAAGGGGCTATGAAAGGAGCCCTTGCAAGTGAGGGCTCCTAGAATCTCCTGCTTTGTTAACTTCAGAATTAACTGATGTCTGCATTAGACTATGATTTTCCTGATCCATTTGCCAGGGCCTTTGCATTTAAAGAAACCATAGCACAGGGAGTTCTTGGGTCAGAGGAGTCTGCACTCTGGTATACAGCTGCCATCCAGGCTCCTGGGCAGGTCTGATTCCAGAGAGGCCCAGAGAAGCAGGCCTGTAGATGAGAGTTCAGCCTGCATATGCTGCCCTGTGATGTCCCTCTTGGAGGCATCCCAGCTGGACTGCCACAGGAAGCATGGAGATGGAGGCCGTTTCCCATCTTGAGCACTGTTATGAAATTTTATTCCAAGGTTTGGTGTCCTCTGGTCTTTGATCCTGCAAACTAGAGAAGGATCCCCTCTGTGGCACCCCTTTGGCGGGCACTGGTCCCACCCCTCCCTCTGCCATCATAGATGGTCTCTGGCAGGGTAAATGCTGGCACTTCAGCACAGTAGCCAACGTGTAGCACATGAATCAAAATTTCTGCTCTCCAACCCACCTGGGACTTTCAGCCCATGATTTGGCCTATTCTAAAATATGGGTTTAAACATCCTGTTGAAGTTGTCAAAACTGAGTTCTTTTGACAGCAGAAAGGAAGCTAAAAAGGAAGACCTCAGAGCAATCTTCAAGTAACACCAGAGTTATTTGTGGGGAGTGTATGAAGGGCTATTTTACTGCCCCTTGGAGGACAAACTGAAGTTCAGGAAGTGAACAAACAGATCTGGGGCTGGGGCTGGATTGTAAGGGGGCTATCCCTGCAAAAGAGGCCTTTTAAATACTGGAGCAGGTTGACCAGATGGCCTCTGCTCATTACCTTTAGTGTTAACTAACATCTCAAAGTCTGGGATGGACACACATGGCGTGGATGAAAAGCAGGGTCTCCTCCTGATTCTGTGGATAGTACGGTCACCTTGCAGGGACCTCCTTCATAGATTATGATTCAGCAGGGCTGAGATGAGGGCTGCAAATCTGTTTTTGTTTTTTGTTTGTCTGTTTTTTAATTTCTCGGGTGTTTTTGAGCATAGGCAGGCTTAGGGACCACCAGGCTACAGGACTTCTGGAAGACAGGGGATCACCAGTGTTATACTAGCCCTGAGACTTGGAGGGCACCTGAAATGAAACAGCCTGAGGCTTAGAATTCTCCAACACCCTCTTTACCTCTTTATCACTCTCTGGAAAAGTGAAAGGAAGGACAGGAAGCAGCCTGGGAACAACCAGAGACTTTAGTGGAGCAGGCACCCCTTCCATGGGGTGAATCCTCCCCAAAAGCACCTTCTAACCAGCTTGAATATTGCCCAGATTCCCACTGAATTGGAGAGCTGGAAATTTGGATTGTTGACTAGGCAGGGGATTTTATTTATTTGTTTGTTTGTTTATATTTCTTATTGGTTCTTTGTAGTTATACATGACAATGGAATTCATTTTGACATGATTATAAAAGCATAATCATATGTTGACATAATTACAATTTGTTCTAATTTCGTCCCCAGTTCTTCCCTTTCCCCTCCCTTCCTCCCACCTCGTTCCCTTCCCTTTACTGATCTTTCTGCTATTACAGCATTCTTTTTAATTAGTGTCTTGTGGATGTACATGATGGTGAGATTCACTGGGTGTACTCACATATGTACTAGGAATGTTAGATCAGACCCATTCCACTGTCTTTCCCTATTCCATCCTCCTCCCCTCTTCCCTTCATTGCCCTTTGTCTACCTCACAAGCCCGGGATTTTAACAGGTAAATCTGGAAGGAAGCACAAATTACATAAACTGTTAGTCTCACCACCCTTAATAGTAAAACTAGCATTGCTTTCTCCTTATCCAGAAAGGAACTCCATGGTGGAGACGGGGGAGGAGCACAAATCTAGGGTAAATTTATTGCACTTTCCACTGTAAACCTCTTGGTCTTGGTAGGAAAAGCTGGGAAAGGGTAGGAATGTAAGGTTTAGCAGAGAAAATGCCTCAAAGGGGGAAAAGCATTCGGAGTGGCAAATGGTAAGCAGACATCTCTTTGAACTGTTGGACACCCCAACCCATCAGGCAAATGACTACAGATGGGGTCAAAGGTTGATGAACTAACCCAGCAGAGTCCAGAAGTCTCGCCTTTCTCACTCTGCCACCCCCAGCAGCATTTGACCAAAGAGCATCTTCTCCTAGGTGGGAGATTCTCCTCCCTGGACCCCAGGGTCAGAGGGTCTGGACAGCTGTGCCCAAGCCTGGGCACCTGATGCTGGGCACCTGTGTGGCTGGAGACCAGATGCTCTTGAACAACCCTAAACCGGTTCCCTCTTCTGCCCTTCAGGGGCCATTATCACAATCTAAAAAAACAATTGCCAACTGATCCCTGGAGCCAGGAAGACTCCCGCTGGGTGATGATTTCATTCACACTATCTCCCTTTAAGCCCCCTGCGCTGCCCCCTCGCTGGGGTGGCTCAGCTGCTACTGCCGCTAAATGGAATTTCTCTTGGGGGGGAAGGGAACCCTCACGAGGTGGGGGGTGCTGGTGACGGGACCAGGTGGCAATTCATGGTCAGAGAATGAGGGCCAAGGCCTCCCATGTGTCTGCTTCTCAGAGAGAGTGGTGCAGAGCCTGAGGGTAGTTGGCCTCCCTTCTGAAACTATATAAATAGCTACCCTGCATTGAGCGCCTACTGTTTGACGGGCACACTGCAGAGGGCTTCTGTGAAGCATTATCTCCCAGCGCCCCCTGAGAGGTGCATTCAACCTGCATGGTCATTTTGCAGATGGGGACATCGTGTCCCGGGTCTCACACCCAGGGTCCTATGTGCACCGCCTTAGCACTCCATGGACAATGAGCTGAAGGCCCACAGCGCAGGCGCATTTGGCAGTTCCAGTTTCTAGCTACTTGTCTTATTTCGGGCAAAGTCCATAATCATCTCTGGGCCTAGACTCTGCTGTCTCTCAGGTGTGGATTGAGGCTGAAATCAGTGAACACCAACTTTCTTATTTTCTTTTAAAATTAAGAAACTCAGCTGAGCGTGGTGTCGCCTGTCTGTTATCCCAGCGACTCAGGAGGCTGAGGCAGAAGGGTTGCAATTAGGACTTAGATCTTGACTCAAAATAAAACTTAAAAACAAAACAAACAAACAATCAAAAAAAAAAACGCAAGGAACTTCAGCTGATGGTGGTTCTGTTGACACTCATTTGTTAAGAAAAATACATATTAACAACAAGATACTAGTAATTCAGTTATGCTGTTAAGGGATTTTAGTTTTAATAATCAGAACAGCCTTTACACCCTTCTAAATAATAGTAGTTTGACAAGTGCAAAGCACAAATAGATTTCCTCCTTAGAAGACTCCATGCTGATTACCTGAGGCGTTGTGTTGTGTTGGGGGTTGGGGACCAAGTCCTAGCTGCCACTCCCACCTGGTATAGGATGGGATTCCTGAGGGGATGAGACAATGGACACCCACCAAGTGGAAGTGCAGAGAGAGGGCCCTAAGAGACAAAGCGAGACTTTGTGGTAATAAGGGACCTGAGCCCTGCAGACAGAACACCAACTGCTTTGAAGGCTCCACAGGAATGAGAAGAAAGGTCCATCTCATGAAAACACTTTCCAACATATCTAAATTGACAGTGCAATTTTCCTTAACAATTGTATGTTAGGAAAAGGGGTTAGAAAATGCTAGCGTCTTCAGAGTTGGAAGACGTTCAACTAAGAACAGGGCAAGAAGCAATCAAGAACTCCAAAAGGAAAGCAGCTTAGGACACGATTTTCTTTTTTTTCCCCTCATCTCCCAACTCCTTCCACTCCACCCCATCCCTGTGCCTCTTCCCCTCTCACACAGCAGGCAGAGGATAAGGATCTTTAAAGACTGGAGTTATGTAGCTCTGACCAAAGACAAGAGCATGGTTGTCTGGTCCTCCTCAGACTTTTCAGGGCATTTCTGCCTGAGGCCGCTTACCTGAAACACCCAGAGACATGTTCCTGCTGCTCCTCAGAGGGCCCTTCTCCACTGTGAAAGATGAATGCATTTCTTTTCCTTTTTTCTTTTTTACGTGAAGTTTGGTTCCACATGGGTCTGATTAGAAACCTACGTGGAATTTAAGACATTGTCACATTGGTGCTGGAGCCCGGCAGGCCCAGGAAATGTGATCTGCTAGAATTATTTTCATTTGTTCAAGTAAGAATATACGGTAGCTGCTTTTATTAACACGGCATTCACTTGGCCCAAGTGCTTTTCTCACCAGAGCTGAGGAGCCAACATTCCTGAGCCATGAGAACCTTAAGCTCCGGGATATGATGGAGATGAATTCAGAGGCTGGGTCTTGAGCACCGCTCTGGTCCTTGGGAAAAACCCCATTAACCTGAAGCATCAGGCTCCAGCAGACTCCAGGGAAAATGCATCCATGGGATGCCATAGACTTCCTAGCCACCTGGGACCCCTGTTCCTAGCCACCTGGACCCCCTTGACAGGAGCCAGCAGGGAGAAAGCAGAGGGCTCAAAAAAGAAACTTCACCTAGTTCTCTGTCTGCTCTTTAGGTTTGTACAGAGTTTGGGGGAAAGCTAAGGGTATGAGATGGGCTAGAGAGAAAGAATGGAAAAAAAAATAGAGTAGTGATCTTCCAAAGAGGTGTGTATGGGGGGAGGGGTTGAATCGTCAAAATCTATTGATCTGGGCTAGATGCAGCTCAGCGGCAGTGTGCTTATCTAGGAAGTATAAGGCCTGGGTTTTGTCCACAGCACTGGAAAAAAAAAAAATCTGTTGAGCAGAGAATTAAGTATAACACATTATCTCTTGGTATCCTTAGGAAACTGGTTCCTGGTATCCCATGTTTACCCAATTCTGTTCAAGTCTTTATATAATGGCCCATTACCTATTCACATCCTCTTGGATACTTCAAATCATCTCTAAATTACTTTTAGTACCAAATATAATGTAAATGCTACATAAATAGCTGTCATGCTATATTGTTCAGGGAAGAATGATAAGGAAAAAAGACTATACACATCCAATACAGAGGCAATCTTTTTTACAAATATTTTCAATCCACAGTTGATTGAACTTTGGGATGCAGAACCTATGTTCACGTAGGGCTAGCTATGTATACCACCGCAGTCATGCACACTTAACTAATGGTTTAGGAGACACAGACTCTTAGGACCGGCTGGCTCTTGGATACATTCTAGACAGTGGGATGTGTCCTGTGTTTCTTGAGGGGAATCATTAGGCACCTCCCCCTTCCTTTGCCCCACTCCCTCCGCCCTAGATTTGATTTCCTCCCTTCCAGTCTGCAAACAGCACACACAACCTCCCCCTTAACCACCATCCAGATCAGAAATAAATTCTCCTGGAAACTGACTGGGCGGGTTCCTCTCCAGGGACATGTAAAGTTAGAACAGAGGGGAAGGCAGGTGGGTGGAGAGGGCCAGGACCACACCAGGACAGACTACCTGCGTCTGATAAAAAAAAAAAAAAAAAAAAAAAACGTTTCCTGGCCCATCTTCTACCCTGAATTATTTTCCCACTTTAAACAATTTACTTATTTGCACAAATGACACATGAGCATGGTTTAGGGGGAAATAAATCTACCAAAGAATCTTCCATAGACCTTAAGTCTCACTGCCCAGAAGTGTCTCTTCAGAGGCAGCCACTGTTACCAGATCCTCATGGACCACTCCAGGAATAACCCATGCACATGCTCATGTGTGCACACACAGGCATCATGTTTTAAAGCTCACATGAACAGGAATGTACTTTGCACACTCTTTCAGACCTTGACTCTTCACTTAACAGTATGTTTTGAAGACCACTTTGTATCAGTGCACCAAGAGGGTTCTTATTTTTTCATGAGATAGTATTCCATGGCATGGATCCACCATAAATGGTTCAACCATGCCCCTCTTAATTGATACGTATGTTGTTTTGGGTCTTCTGTGAAAAATAATGCAGCATAACTTTGGGGGCACATGGAAGCACATGACAATACGATAAATTCCTAAAATTGGAATTGCTGATCATTTTCTATGTCCATTTTTGGGGTAGATATTGTCAAGTTGTTCCTTATGGACAATATAACAATGTACACACCTTTCCTTGTTTCTCTATGCTCACCAACTGCAGAATAGTATCAAACACTGTTCTCTTACAATCTGATCATTGAAAATGTGATCTCTTGATTATGATATACATTTCTCTTATTAGACATATTTTCTTTTTTGGGGGGATACTGGGGATTGATCTGGTGATGGGGGGGTGGGTACTGGGCACTCAACCACTGAGCCCACATCCCCAGTGCTATTTTTTATTCTATTTAGAGACAGCATCTTGTTGAGTTGCTTAGGGAGGGCCTCACTAAGTTGCTGAGGCTGACTTTGAACTTGAGACCCTCCTGCTTCAGCCTCCCAAGCCACTAGGATAATAGGCATGTGCCACTGCACTCAGCTAGACATATTTTCTTATGCTCAAATGCTATTGTATCTCCTTTTCTGAGAGTTTGGTTTTTTATAAATGTTCATTTCCAGAATCTTTCTAAGACTGTTAAAAATATTTTTGGCCTGGCATGATGGTGCACACATGTAATCCTACCTACTTGAAAGACTGAGGCAGGAGGGCCACAAGACCACAAATTCAAAGCCAACCTGAGCAACACAGAGAGACCCTGTCTCAATTTTTTTTTTTTTTAAAGTGGGAAGTGTAGCTCAGCTAGAATGTTTACCTAGCCCATGTGAGGCCCTGGGTTCAATCCCCAGAACCTGCCCCCCCATACACACACATACAATTAAAAATTTAACAAAATATTTTTTTTTCTAGAGTTTAATGATTGTCTTTTTTATGTTTAAATTTTGCTGCTTTGGAATTTTTTTTTATTTTTTTCATTTTTGGGGGTACCGGGACTTGAACTCAGGGGCATTGGACCACGGAGCCACATCCCCAGCCATAATTTGTATTTTATATAGAGACAGGGTCTCACTGAGTTGCTTAGCACCTTGCTAAATTGCTGAGGCTGACTTTGAACTCGTGATCCTCCTCCCTCAGCCTTGTGAGCTGATGGGGTTACAGGCATGTGCCACCACGCCCAGCTAGTAGTAGTAGTATATTATCCAGTTGTTATAACACCATGTTTTCTCCAGTAATTTGAATGATGCTTTTATTTTATATTTATATTAGATTCATTTTTATATGTTTGATTGACTGCTGGACTGTTTTTTTGTTGAACTGCAACAGACCTTTTAATTAGTGGGATTTATTTCCCATTTAACTTTCACAACCAATCCTGAATTCGACTTCTAGTACTTCAGCTCCCAAGCTTTGCTCATCAATGATCTTGAGTCCTGTGGCTGACTCTACACCCCATGCTCAGGTGGAGAATCCACCATTCAGAGCCTCCTGATGGTCAGCGAGATACCTGGGCTGGCACCACTTCCTCCTCATCCTGCCTCTGTGCTTGTCCCTGCTAGCTCACACCTCCCAGTCACTTAGTCAGAAACTGCAGAGCTTAAAAGGTAAACTGTCCACTGACCCACAGCAAATCTTATGGGATTAGCGACCCAGAGTGAAAAAAACAACAACAAAAATCCTTTTTAGGGGTTTTATGGTAAAGTAATTGGTGATTCAGTCAGAGTACAGCTCAGGCGTTAGACCCAGGACTTCCCATGCATGATTCTGTTGATGCTCACTCCAATTCTATGGCATAATTATCCTCACTGTTCCACTTTACAGATGATGGAATTAAGGTTTAGGAGGATAAATAATCTGTCCAGGTTCACATAACTAATAAGAGGTGATGATTATGAGTGGAAGCGCAAAGCTTTGATGCAGATATGCTCTTGATCTACTTTGATGAGTTCATTCTGTGCTTGTGGGCATTCCTTCCTGGACTTATTCCATAAATATGTACTGAGCACTAATAGTAAGACAAACCCCATCTCCTGGTAGGATATGCATGAGCTTAGGGAAGGCTTTCATGTTTATCTCAAGCATATTAACATATGTGAAATGGCTTGGTAAACAGTAAATAAGAGCCAGGGAGGATGAGGGTGTGTGTTGGGGGAGGTTGGTCACAACGTTCCCATTGGCCCTCTGGCCCCGGGCTCACTCTCCTCCCACCCTGAAAGTATCTCTGGTGTTTCAGTGTTGCTCTTATTAAACCTTCAGTTCAGCATCATATCCCAAAGCAGACCCAGTCCTTGACCCAGGAATCTTGGAGTCTATTGGAAAAGAAAAACATTCAGAAAAATAGCTATCCAATGGTGTTTATATGCTGTCAGGGAGGTCAGCCCCAAAGGGTTCTAGAGTCTGGGATGCTGGTGAACGGGCTCCTTACCACCCCTCATAACAGTGAGGCCAGGATGCTAATAGCAGGCTTTCTACAGAGAAGGTCAGAGGATTCCCCTGGCACCACTGATTGGCTATTGAGTGGGTGGTTTCTATATGTTGTAAATATATAGAGCAAATATGGACGTGTAAAGCAAGGTGTCTCCAATCATGACTGTCACTCACTTTCTTCCCAGGATCTAAGGACCCATGAACAGGGGCTCACAGGGTGACAGCTATGTCAAATGACTTCAGTCATCAGGAAGGAGGAGAAATTATACTCTACCTATTTCTTTCAGTTTCATTTTGTATTCATTTTAAAGTCTAGATTCAAAGTCTCCTGGCTCCCACCTTGCTCTCTCGACCCCTGAAGAGCATAGAAATCCCTATGGACTCCCCCAGATCAGAGCCTCAGGAAAGTGGAGAGGAAAAAGCCCTTTTTCTAGGAAGAATGAGTGGCTTGGGTGATTTCTTGGGAATGAAGTTGTCAATGTGTGACAGGAAGTTCAAAATTCATCTTCTGAGAACTGGTGGTTCACACACAAACCTCTACCAAATTAGCCTTGAAGGGAGCCATTTATTGTTGGCCCCAGACTCCTTGGAACCACCTACCACACTGGGAACCAGGTTCTTTTTCAGGGAAAAATTTCTATCCCTTACTGTCTCCTTTCCTTCATGGCCCTGGAGAACAACAAATGTCTAAGAGGCACCAGACATCTCCCAAGTTCAAAATCAAAAATCAAGAATGGGCCTGTTTGTGAAATAACAACTTGGGAATGGAGTGACCATGAATGGGAAGAAAGAACAGTACTAGGAAGGACTTAAGAGATCCTCCTCTCTCCCTGCCCTTCCACTCCCCATCCTCACCAGCTCCCTCCACACACAGTTTGCACAAAACGGACTGAGGCTGAGAGGGGAGGAAACTTGTGGAGCTCACACAACTAGGAAGTAGAAAAGTCATTAAATAAAACCCCTGGGTCTCAATCCTCCTCCACTAGACTGTCTCTCAAATGGGCTTGAGAAAGCAGCTTCCTAATGCATTATCACCTAAGGACGAGTAGAAAGTGTCCTGGCCTAGAAGTCAGGAGACCTGACTGGTAGAGCTTCAGCAGCCTCCCACCCCACAGACAGACCACCCACGTCTACCCTGGCCTCCTCTTCATGCAGGGGAGCCATGGAGCTCTGACTTCCCAGGTTCTGTTCTCCCAGGAGGGCTGAGACCCGTGGTGCTTGTCTTACAAAGGGAAGGGAGGGCACACTGGTGCAGGGGACTACCGGACAAGACTCAGCTGCCACTCGCAGCACTCCTCGTGTGTTATTGAATCTCTGCTGTGTGTGCCTTTCTTCCACAGCCCAGCTTCCAAGAGGAATGCAAGTTCAGAGAAACCCTCCTGCCCAACAACTACAACGCCTATGAGTCAGACTTGTACCGAGGGACCTACATCGCCCTGAGCAAATATGGACGTGTAAAGCGGGGCAGCAAGGTGTCTCCAATCATGACTGTCACTCACTTTCTTCCCAGGATCTAAGGACCCATGAACAGGGGCTCACAGGTTGACAGCTATATATCTATTCTATGGGAATTTTGCACAAGTGAACGGTTCCCTCTTGTTCCCCATGACTTCTGAATCAGGATTATCTTGTGCCTGGGGAGACCTGGGTTTGTTTTCCTTGGCTACTTGATCCCATGGCTCTGAACTCACCCAAGTGAGGTGTGGCCACGAGCATCTTAGACTAGTGATGAAGCCTGTGCTTTGACCTCACCTGAGAAGAGAAGGTAGAGATGACACCTGTGGAATGTGACTATGGGCACAGGAAAGGGCCAGGGTGGGAGTATGTGTGTGTCCACGTAGATCCATCCATCTCTGTATATATTCTCAGAGCAAAAGTATTTCAGAGCATCGAGTTTCTTTCCCCTGGCCTCATCGCTGCAGGAATCTGCCTGCAAGAATGTCACCTGTCAAGCCAGAAGGATTGATCTGCTCCCATTCTGCCTCTTTCCAATCACCTTTTCATTCAGAGGCCGCTGACGGCACAGGCGACACGGGTGGTTGGGAGCAGCTGTCCTCCGAGTGCAAAGAGGGCAGGACAAGAGGGTGTGAACTTTCAATGCCAACCAGGAAAAGAGTGGTCAGATGCCCCGAGCTTCATGCCTGTGGGGGGTTCTAGGGAAACTGGGATGCATCATCAAAGCCACGGGGTAGAAGGGGGTCACCTTCTTGGAAGAAAGTGGCAGAGCAGTGCCCAGGGCAATTGAACAAGGTCCACTGGAGGCATCAGGAGGAACTGAGTGTTCTGTGGAGAGCTGTTCTGCCTGGAGGACTTCATGCTGTGTGTGCTCCAAGAACAAGTAAGGGCCAGGCTGCCTGCCCGTGACTTTTCCTCACTTTGAACCAGGTCTTATTTTAACCTCAGATGACAAGGATCCTAATAATGGCAACCTCTTTGGCAAGGAAGGGGATGCAAAATAGGGCATGAAGGAAGTAGAGAGGCTTTGGACTACAGATGATAATTCCTCTCCAACCATGTCCAGGAAACTCACCCAAGTTCTCATCTGATACTCTCACTTCCTTCTCAGTCGTCCTCATCTCGCGTACACGCAGCACCCTGGATGCAATAGAATGGGCCCCATGACCTCTAGAGTTTGCCCCCTGACTCCCTACAGTAGAAGAGGAGTGCTAATCCTGGGAGATCAAGCAGCCAAGCTGAAGTGGCTCCTCGCTGTACCATGCCTTCTTGCCTCCTGTCCTTTGAGAGTATTTAAAGCAGAGGTTCCCCGAGTGACTATAAATGTGGTCTGCCTGGAGCCTTCAGATTCCTGAACCATTGGAATGTTCCTAAATCTGAAACCAGAGAGAGCCGTATCAGAGTGCAAATATTTTCGGCATATGTGAACCATCGAGTTACAAAATGACCTGACACCCTTTGCTACTCTCAGGGGCCCCGGCCTGCAAGACAATCCCTCATCTGTTGCAAATACCTTCATCTTCAACATACCTCTCTATTCGTAGATGCGTGCATCTATAGATAGATCGGGGCGAGGGATTCTGAGTTGAAGATGGAGGTTGGCAATCCCAGGGAGAGACACTGTGCTGGCTGCCTCCTCTACTCTGCAAGGATCAGGGTGGATGTGTGCTGGGTAAAGAGGTAAAGGCCATGGCAAGGTGAGCTAAGATTAACAGACAGTAGTGGCTCAGCAGCATGTGTGCATGTAATCAAGCCTTGGAAAGAAACTAGAAGGAGCTGGATCTTGGATCAAGTGGAAGGGAGAGGAAATCAGTCCATCTTGACTGTCATAATTTTGAAAACACAGGTCTGCTTGGAGGCAGGAGACCACCAACTTGGTTATTTTTTAAGAGATCTGATCCAGTGTAATCAGTCTCTTTAACAGAGCATATCAGAAATGAAGGCACTAAGGACCTAAGGTGCATCTGTATTCCTGATGGAACTGGGAATGCAGGATGGCTGGATGGATGTCTATACCCATTTTCCATGCTAGGTGTGAGGAGAGGCCATGAAATATAGGTCCGGCCACTATGTAGTCATACCAGCACACTGATTTTCTGTGACTGACACCAATTATGAGAAGGTGGGCATCCGGTCCAACTGGTACCAGTATGACCTGCATCATACTAGTTTTTAAGTATTTTGAATCTTATCTCTGAATGTACAGATGTATGGTTGATGCTTTTAGATTTTTCTCATGCAAAATAATTCACTTAAAGGCTTTCTCTTTTACTTATAAGGGACTTAGGCTTAAGAAAAGTCCCACCCACAAAAATTGATGAAAGGATATCAAAGGGCATTTCAATCCCTTTTCTCCTGCTACTATGCACAGAGTGTGGAGAGTTGGTTTGTACCTGGTCAAATGTCCACTGAGTCCCACACTCAGACTCAGCTGTCAGCCCCATTGGATTCAAAAGACTGTGGCAGATGTTACCATGGGCAGGGGAATAGTGAGCCCAACTTTCTCACTGAGGATGTTCTAAGAATGATTTGGATCATCCCTCCCCCAAATCCTGAGCAAATGGACCTGGTTTATAGAGTTTTGTAGCTAATTGGACTCTCTTCTATCCTGAACCTTCTCTGGCAGCTCCATGCAAACTTTGGGTTCCAAGAGCCAAGAGGCTGACTTATACCCTCTCCAAGAGCAAATGATAATGAAGAGAAGAGCATATCTACGTACACTTGAAGATGGACTTCTCAGCTAGGAGGAGGTTAGCTCCGAAGCAAGTAGGGAGTCACAGGACCCTTATAAAATCTCCATCGTCTCCAGGGCAATGGATGGACCTCCTAGAAAACCAGAAAATTCTAAATGTTTTGTTCAAGTTGTTGATTAGGTCTGTGTAATCATTCAAAGCCTTTTAATATCTTTTCTTTTTCCCACTTTCTAAACATTTTTGGAACTCCCTTGAAAAACTGCATATGATTTTGAAATTAATACCTTATCATTATCTTCCACAGCTTTTCCCTCTACCAGCATGTCCCACAGTACCTCCAACACACACACACACACACACACACACACACACACACACACTCACACATATATTCAAGTCCTTGGTCAGGGCTATTCTAATGGCTTAACAAAGACAAAGAACATTTTTTCTTGTTATCTGATTCAGGATAAAAATATTTCTCCTTTTTAGACATATAGTCTTCTCCCCACACCAACAATCCAGGTTTGAAATCCTCTCCTGTCCCAAGAACTATCCTGAACATTTTGAAATTCTCTTTCCTTGCAGGATTTGGGCCCTTTTCTATGCTAAGACCTCAGATCCTTCAAGTGCTTGCTCTATGTAAGTCCTGAGGGAAGGAGGACATGGAAGAGCTTATGAGCTATCATTTCTCTTTCTCCCAGTGTCTGACATCCATGGCCTTTGATGCATTGTGCCACAGTCACTGGGGCAAATGTAGCTACCACATGACTTGTTGGCCCCCAAAACACCAAATGTCCCCTCTTCCCTTTATTCTCTTCTACTTTTTATGTGGACACAAACTAGAAGACCCCTACTTCTCTCTATCCCTCTGCTTTTCCCCAAAGACTCTGGGCCAGTTGTCACTCAGAAGGTTTTCTCTGCCACTTGCCACTCTCAGTCTGCCCAGTGGGTCTGTGGTAGATGCTCCTTCCTTCCTTACCCACAGGAACCAGCCACCCCTGTGTCACTGCCCCCAAAGCCCCCAACGATAGGGAGGTTCAGGACAAGGCCCAAAGGATCTGTACAAATACTATAGTTTGTGCTTACACCTGAGTGGACAATTCCTCTTCCCAGAGCTGGAGAAGGACGTGAGTATGCCCCAGTTGGATCCTGAATCTAGTGCAGCATATGGATAGCCAACATAGAACCATTCTTGTATACCTCATTGAACTACTGAAATTCCAGCCCCAAACAGCTGTGTTTTGATGTGGTTTTTCTCTTTCTGTACATCATTAAGTACCTCAGGCTGGGTCCCGGTGCAAAGCTGTCCTTAAACTTGGGTACAGCGGATAGGAAAACCCAGAAGCTGTTCAGTCATGTGCTTGTGAAATGTGATGCTTCTATTTTTTAATATGTATGTGCTATGCACAAACCATATCATGTTCCAGCAAAAAAGTAAAAGGTCTTTTTATACGTTTCTCTAAATTGTTTCACTCCACCCCTCCTATTAAAACTGACAACAAATTTCTGGATTGTGATTGATTTTTATCTTAATTCTCTTCCCTATCTTGAGGAGGCATGGACAGGGAAAACAGAAAGCAGAGACCCCTCGTGGTGTTGATGATGAAGGCAGGCAGAAGTGGTGGGGTTCACGTAGACCACCAGTCCTACCTTACAAGTGGGGAATCTGGCAGAGAAGGGGGAAGGAAGCAACTCAAGGCCCCAGGGAGGCCGAATCCCTCTGCCCCTCTGCCTTGTTAAGAGTCAGAAATATGTATTTCTTTACCAATAGAATTCATTCATCATTCATTTGTTCATTCATTCATTCATTCATTGAGAAATACTCTGATCCCCTTGTCCCCAAATTGGGCTAGGTTTGGGGGATACATGACTGAACAAAGTAGACACAGTCTCCACCCTCTTAAAAAAATCACCAAGAGCACGTTATCAGTGGATTTCTAAGGCCCACTCCAGAGGCCTTGGATCGATCATATGTGGGGCCCAGGAGTCCCCATGAATAACATGCACCCTCAGAAATTCTGACCGTGGAAAGCACGATCTAGTGGGAAGCCTGGAAATAGAGAACATTTGAGCTAGGAGAGCCTCTATAAATTATAAAATCTTTTCACAGGTTAAATGAAGAAGAAGATCAAGGAACTTAAGTAACTCCCCCTCCCTTTACATATCCCTTCTTGAACCTCGGGTCATCAGACCTGTGACCTCTCTGCCATGTTCCTGCTCTGGCCAGTCCTATCTCTACATACCTCTCTGCCTCCTCCTGCCACTTCTGGGGTAGACGAACATGTGCCTTGAGCTGAGCAAAATGGGTTCTGAATAAATCTCTGTGCTCTTGGAAGAGCTGCCTGGTCCTTTGGCCTCTGCATCTCATTCCTGTATTTATTCAAGCAATTCATATTTCTAAACTCCTCCAGTGTGCCAGCAACCATGCTGAGCCCTTGGAATATCACTGTGACAAATGATATATGGCCTCGTAGTCTGACAAGGAAGATAGATGATTACAGCAAAGTGTGGTGAATGGCACTAAAGAGGAAGCTCAAGAACAGGGTCCTAACCTTATCTAGGTGGGTAAGAGACTCCATCCCAGAGAAAACTGATCTCTGAAGGGTGTCAGGAGGTTTGGGGTAGTAAGTTAAGTCTGCAGGTAGGGGAGGAGGAATGCTGTGAGAGAGGAACACAGCAGGTGTTTGAAAGTGTTGCTGAAGGGAGGGGGAAGAACATGGTACCTTCAAGGATCTAAATCGGGGCCATTATTGCAGGTACTGGGTGCAGAGAGCTGGGCAAGATGGGGCTTGAGATGGATGGTGAGCAACTGCCATGGGGCATCTGATAAGTGAAGTTAAGGTGTTTGAGTTAAAAAATATCCATCTCATAAACTTTATCAAATGTTTTGAGTAAAATTACTAAATTACTAAGTTGTGTAAACCATCACACACATTTTTGTTACTCTACCACGATCCTTCATGCATATTTAATCTAAATCCCCCACCTCCCCTTGTTTGCCCCAAGCAACCACCAATCTACTTTTTATCTCCACATTTTACCTTTTCCAGGTATTTCATAAAAAAGAATCATATAATATGTGATGTCTTGTGCCTATTTTCTTTTTCTGAGGAGATTGAATTTTAATCCAAGAATAATGAGAGGCCCCCGGTGAGTTTAAGAAGTTAACAGGACCAGACAGGAGTTTTAGAAAGGTCATTGGAACTGTCCCAATGTTGGAGGGATGAGCCTGTGGGCAGGCAGGACAATCGGGCAGTTTCCATTGGTGTGTTCCAGTCTGGGTAAGATGGCGACTGGATGGAGTAATGACAGAAGAGTGGAGAGAAGCTTGAATGGTCACACTATATTATCCTGCCATAGAATGCAACAGGAAGCCATTCTCAGAATGAAAACTCAAACACCTCTGTATTATTCAGCTTTTCATTGCTGTAACCAAATACCTGACATAAAAACAACCTAAAGGAGGAAAAGTTTATTTTAGCTGATGGTTTCAGTTCTTGGTCATTTGGGTCATTTTTCTGAATCGGAAGTGAGACAGAACATCATGGTGGAAGAGGTGGCAGAGGAAAGCTGCTCAGCTGATGGTGACCAGGAAGCAGAGAGAGTGGAAAAGGAGCCCAGGACAAGCTATAGTCCCCAAGGGCATGCCCCCAGTGATCCACTTCCTACAACCAGGCCCCACCTCCTTTGATGAGGTCAGAGCCATCAAAATCCAATCACTTCCCCAAATTCTCATCAATGAACATTGCTGCACTGGGGACAAAGCCTTCATCACAAGAAACTGTGGGGGATATTCCCGGTTCAAACCATAACAACCCCCAATTGACAAGGTGTTCATTAAGAAATAAGGGCTTATTTTTTTTTTACATTGTACATATTGTGTAGAATAATATCTTTTTGTTGTTGTTGTTGTTGTTGGTCGTTCAAAACCTTACACAGTTCTTAATACATCATATTTCACAGTTTGATTCAAGCGGGTTATGAACTCCCAACTTTACCCCGTATACAGATTGCTGTATCACATCAGTTACCCTTCCATTGATTGACATATTGCCTTTCTAGTGTCTGATGTATTCTGCTGTCTGTCCTATTCTCTACTATCCCCCCTCCCCTCCCCTCCCCTCCCCTTTTCTTTCTCTACCCCTTCTACTGTAAATCAAGGGCTTATTTTTAAAAGATATTTAAACATAAAACTTCGGAACTCCCCCCCACCAAAAAAAAAAAAGAGTTTAGTGCTTAGTATTTTTTTTTAAAGAGAGAGAGAGAAGAGAGAGAGAAGAGAGAGGGGGAGAGAGAGAGAGAGAGAATTTTTTAATATTCATTTTCCAGTTTTCGGTGGACACAACATCTTTATTTTATTTGTATGTGGTGCTGAGGATCGAACCCAGCGCCCCACGCATGCCAGGTAGTGCTTAGTTTTTTAAGAATCAAACAACAAGATATTTCATTTGTTGCACATTATTATGGAGGTTTCCCTGAAAGAGAGGAGGGAAGTTGATGACCATGACCATTTGGGAGGCCCAGCTCTGTGGGCAGAGGGTTCTCGAGGCTAGCCACCTGAAGTGTTCACTGTAAATCTCCATCATTATTCATTATTATTTTCAATACCAGCCCTGCCTTCTGGTTCTGGGGGGGATCCCTCCATCCAACAGGCCTGACAGATACCCCCTGAAGTAAGAGTACTTGTTGTTTTCAGGGCCCACAGGTGGCTGCCTCTCTCCCAGAAGGGGTTTGGGCTGCTGGAACCAGGAACACGAGCTGGGGAGACCAAACAACAGACACAGATTTTCTTGTGGTTCTTGGAGGCTGGGCAGCTCAGATCAAGACCTGTAGGGTGGGTTTCGGGTGAGGCCTCTCTTGCTGGCTTGAAGACAGCCACAATCTCACTATGTCCTTAACAGTCTTTCCTCTGTGTGCAAAAGAGAGAGGGCATAGGCTGTGGTGTCTCTTCCTTGTCTTCCAAGGTCATGATCCTAGAGGATCAGGGCTCCGCCCTAATGGCCTCCTTTAACCTTAATCTCCTTCACAAAAGCCTGTTTCCATTTTCGGTGGCATGAGGGGTGAAGGCTTCCACGTAGGAACCTGGGAGTGGGGGATATAAACATTCCACCCAGAACAGTGCCCACTGCCCTCTGGGGAAGCCTGAACCAGGAGTGGACACATTTATCAGATCCTCACAAGAAGCCCTGAATTAGAGGCCCTATTCCTTTGAGTACACGAATTACCTGGTTGATGTGGCCATCTAAGGAACATTTGTCTATGTCATTTTTTGTCATCATGGCAGGGATCAGGAGTGTGGGGGGCTAATGGCATTTAGTGGGGATCAGCTAGGGATATGGCTGACCATCCTCTAGCAAAAAGAGTTATTTGGCCCTAAATACCAGTGATGCCAAGGTTGAGAAACCCTGCTCTAGGAGAGCACCAACCTGATTTGGACTGAAATTCTTGGATGGAAGAACTTCTCGTTGAAGCCCCAGGCAGGGAAGTAAAGGCCGGGGAGAGAAGCTTCAGATGCCACTGTCAGATCCCCCAAAGTCATGCTGGAAACGTGACGAGGCAGAAGGTTATCGAGATCTGTCCAGAACACCGAGTTGGAAGGTGAGAGATCGTAAGAGCCAGTGGAGCAGCAGTGACTGGGGCAAAAGGAAGCGAGGCCAACAGGCCACTAGGCTCTCCCTCTTCTTCCTCACTGTCAAAGCCATGTCCTCCACCTCCAGGCCCTGTCCCACCTCCATCCCAGGCAAGTAGAAGGTCTCTTCAGAACTTCAGTTGGTAACACTCTTACCTGTAATTTCAATGTCATTATTCCACTGTCAAAGAATGCTGTTTGTTTTCCTTTCCTTAAGATTATAACATTGAAACATGTTCACGGCAGAAGATATAGAAACCCCAGTGTTATGTTTTGGATTTTAAATGTCCCCCAAAAGCCCATGTATTGAAGGCTTGGTCCTCGGTCTGTGGTGCTATTGGGAGGTGGTAGAACCTTTAGGGGTGGGGCCTCATGGAAGTTAGGTCGCTGGGGACATGCCCTGGAAGGGGGTAACTGGCCCTGGCCCTTTCCCTGTGTCTCTAACTTTGCTTTCTGCTACCATGAAGTGAATCAGAACTCCTCTGCTTCCATGTGCTTCCATCATGATTTTCTGCCTCATCACAGTACCAAAAGCAATGGGGCCAAGCCTCCATGGACCGAAACCTCTGAAACTGTCAATCAAAGTAAACCTTTTCTCCTTTAAACTGATTGACTTCAGGTATTTTGTCACAGCAACAGAAGGCTGACTGAAACAACCAGAAATTTTTAAAAAATCTCATCACTTATAATCCCACTAGCCAAGAGTGCTGCTAAAATGTTGCTGTTTCCCTTCAGTCTGTTATGTATCAAACAAATTTAGTATGTAGACCAAGCACAGCTGAGGAATTTTATTGCAAAGCAATAAAAAGCTTCTCTCTCTCATGACTCCTTTTAAATTTGCTCAGTCAACTTAGTGTCTCTGAATGAAAGCTTG